CCACTGGACTCTAGAGCAGTGGAGACGTGTTCTCTGGAGTGACGAATCACGCTTCTTTGTCTGGCAATCTGATGGATGAGTCTGGGTTTGGCAGTTGCCAGGAGAACGGTACTTGTCTGACTGCATTGTGCCAAGTGTAAAGTTTGGTGGAGGAGGGATTATGATGTTGGGTTGTTTTTCATGAGTTAGTTCCAGTGAAAGGAACTCTTAATGCCTCAGGACAAGACATTTTGGACAATTTCATGCTCCCAACTTTGTGGGAACAGTCTGGGGATGGCCCCTTCCTGTTCCAACATGACTGTGCACCAGTGCACAAAGCAAGGTCCATAAAGACATGGATGAGTGAGTTTGGTGTGGAAGAACTTGACTGGCCTGCTCAGAGTCCTGACCTCAACCCGATAGAACACCTTTGGGATGAATTAAAGCGGAGACTATGATCCAGGACTTCTCGTCCAACATCAGTGTCTGACCTCACAAATGCGCTTCTGGAAGAATGGTCAAGAATTCCCATTAACACACTTCTAAACCTTGTGGACAGCCTTCCCAGAAGAGTTGAAGCTGTTATAGCTGCAAAGGGTGGGTCAACATACTTGTATAACAGCCAAAAGCTACTTACCTTACTGAGGAGTTGGCAGCACTGTCAGCACTCACGCATTCACACATGTGAAGGCAGGCGAGCCAATACTTTTGTATTTTGGTTTGTGCGTTAATTTCCATAAGCCCGAATGTTGTGTAATTTTTGCAACTCCTCTAAGTTCAACACAATTCAAGAATTACAACAAAATGTCGACTTTTAGAAGCTGTTGAGATTTTTGGTTATGTAACCAGAGGCAGAGTTTACAGAAGCTTTGAGAATAATCAAAGTAAACTGTAACTTTAGCTAGGCTAGTTATAATACACATTTCTGTTTACTGTGGTCAATCTGACAGCTAGCTGCTGACAAGAACCTAAATAAAACAGGTAAGATGTCTAGAACGTTACCTTCCAGTAAAAAACACCAAGCCTTTTTAATTCGTCCAGGAAAACGGGCTGGTTGGGAATCAGTCTGTGAGGCTTTCTCTGGTCTTCATCAGAGCTGTCCATGTACCAAGCTTCTAGAGTCATTTTGGATGATTTCACAGTTTCACTCTCGAAGTAAACACACACATGTTATATGAGAATGTGCGCAGTCGTCCGGTAGACGTGATGCATCACGTGACTGCAGCCAGATTTCCTGTATACAAAAGTTGCGCTTACTACTTTCGTTTATCCTCATACGGCTTAAAAATGAGTGATGGCGACGATTTCAGATCTGTGCAATCGATGTTTGATCGATGCATCTGCATTTGAAGTGTGCGTGGGATGTCGAGGAAGACAGAACTTTAGCAATCTGATATGATCATTTTATTTTGAAGAAAACCACCGGAAGTATTAGTTGCTCTGGTGTGTGTATCTTTACTGTTAGGGAGCAACATATTTTGAATGTTTGTTTTGAAAGCTGTCACTAGAACTGTATTTTAGTGAATGTGTGGATACCGTTAAGGAGTACACAGATTTAAAAACTGAGAATATTCACAATTTAACTTAAGTAATGTAAATGTCATTCCCGTGTATTTTGATTGTTTTATTACGATCGTTCTCTGCGATAGTTTGAGTGAATATTTCTTGCTCTATTTTGGCGTCGTTAATCGACCTTTTCTGTACACGACCACATAAACGAGCGGAGTTTGGTGGGAAACATGGAAAAACGATAGCTAGTCGACGAGGATGGGATTCGAACCCACGCGTGCAGAGCACAATGGATTAGCAGTCCATCGCCTTAACCACTCGGCCACCTCGTCACTATGGTGTGGGCGCTCTCTTGTGTCAATGCAATAGGGTGAGTTGTTAGTGATCTGTCTACTGTCCTTGCGGGCGTTCGGGACTAATTTGAGTCTAGTTTTAGGGTTTGCTGGTTCGTGTGGCAATATTTTTTAAGTTCGTGAAATTAACAGTAACAGCGCAGGATGTGTTGTGTGTTTGCTGTATGAGTTATGCTTCACCATCAGTTAAATAGGATGTGTAATTTACTCAGCCATGGCCATACATTTGAATACAACTGTGACATTTGGCAGCTGAGCGCTAGCCTATATATCAGCATTATTCATTTTGCATGTAGGCTGCTCCAGTGTTGGTTATGTCTAATTCTAAAAATGCTAAACCTAAAAAAAATGACACATTCTTGGTTTGATGTTAAATATAAGACACTGCAGAAAAAAGAAAATAAAGGATTGATAGATTAACTGCCCCACATCCATGCCTTGCCCATAACTGAGGAAAATAATGCAATCAAGACAAGAAACATAATAAATATGTCAGTAGGAACAGTTCAAAATCAAGTTTCTCTGTTTTCAAACATTTTAAAAGTGCTTCTTTCTAAGTGGTGCACAGTCTCGGTAGATAATAACATTGGTAGACCTTTACCTTTGGTTTAGTATGCATGTATAGACCATAAACTCAGAATTGTGTCATTTACACCACCAGAGGGCACCACACTCCACTAAGAGACATCCTGCCCACCACCTGGCTACACCTGGAGGGTGTTTCTCACAGAGCAGGATTAGACAGCTGGCCTGATGATGCACTGTCTTGATGTGGCTCATTTCAAATCAAGAAGACATAACAGTAATATCAGTGAAGTTTATGTTTAAGTCTAAAAACTGTGTTTTTTGTGTGTGGAAAACCCCATGGAGCTTCACTGTCCTTTATTTCAAGGTGAAGCCAACACCTCAGCCTCAGTGGGAAGGGAAGACATCATGTGAATGTGTCATATCAGCTGGCACTACTTTCTGGTTTACAGGTGACAACACCAGTGTGTGTGAAAACGGAACACAGACCAGAACAGTATTTAAGTACATTTGACTCACAGAGCTGGGACAAATTCAATTATCTGCCTAAAAACTAATGTACTGAATGATTAAATCATTCCTATGATCATCTATAGCATATCTTGCACTGGAAATAAAATAAAATAAAAGTTTTTTTTTGTTTGTTTGTTTAACTGCTGTACTGCAGCAACCTCCACTATAACCTTCCTGTGGAAGTGGAAGATAGCCCATCAGGTTATGATGTACTGGCAGCTTCCCTGGAGGATCAGCACTTCAAACTTCATTAGATCAAAGAGATGCATAATATGTCCCATAAATCTAACAACAAAAAGGGATATTCATAATGTGACAGGGTTATAACTAAAATATAAGTTCCAAATTGACCAGAAAGGCATTTAGTTCTGTGAGTTGGTCCGCTTTTTTTATTAGCTAACCCATGTTAGCCATCCCTTAGCCCACTGCAATGTTAAAATAACTGTAAGGTAAGCTGAAAGTTAGACAAAAGCTGTGCACGCTGCACTGAGAGCTCCCAGCAAATGTAATATAATAGTTCAACATTTCCAAAGCAGTGCTTTCAGTCTAACAGAGATCTTTGTTAAGGGTAGGTTAGATCTGGAAAATGGTGTTGCTTGTTGTGGGGCTCTGAGGATTTATGACAGCATGGCCTTTGGGGCCAAATAATGGATAAACTCGTATACTGAGCTTCCATATGAATGCTTTCCCATATTTTGTCACATTTAATTGTGGATTATTGACTGACTGTTTGTCAGGCATTGTCACAAAATAAAATCATCAAACTTAGGACCTTATTTAATTAACATAATTAATTATCATCATTCAGCAGTTGTGTCTTGATGACAGCACCTAAAATTTGTGGTCATATGTGTGAATTGGTACAGTAATGCAATACTCAATTTCTGAAATAAAATTTCTAGAAATGGACCACTATTGGATATTAGGTTTAGTGTAATCTAAAATAATATTTTATTCAATATTTAATTTGGAGGTAAATTAAAGTTGCACTAATTCTATTTCTATGTTGCATAATGCATAATGCAAGTAGTTACAGTATGTGAAAGGTGTCACTCATTTCCCCTTAGCTCTACCAAGGTTTTTAGCCTCTTTTAGCTTGTTGTGTTGGTTCTGCAGTGTGGATAGTGATAGTGCAGTAGGACTCAACTATTTTCACTGTCCTCCCAGAACCTTCCAGAACCATGGACTTCGTTAAGGTTGAACCCTAGTGGAGTATTTAGCTGTTAAAAGGCTCCCAGATAAACTTATTGTCTCAGGTGTGTCACACTTAAATCCAGATTTGATTTAATATCCTTTCCTTCACATGCACCCACACATATTATATGTGTGTGTGTATTAGTCACATCACAAATTTTGGTTTAACCAGGCTACATGCAAATTAAAGCAATCCTTCCTCAAGTCTAGAGGGTGGTGGTACTGCATTTGAAGGTACTGTATGTAATAACTGCCAAAAACATCCATCCATCCTCTATACCATCTATCCTGAAGAGGGTTGCTGGGGCCAGTCCAAGCCAACATTGGGTGAGAGGCAGGGTACACCCTGGACAGATAGCCAGTCTATTACAAGGCTGACATGTAGACAAACAACCACGCACACACTCATTCACTCCTACAGGCAATTCACCAATCAACCTATGAACATTGCAAACTCCACACAGAAAGCCATCAGGTCAGTTGGGGCTTGAAACCGGAACCTTCCTGCTGCAAGGCAACAGCGCTAACCACAGAACCAACATGCTGCCCCTGGCAAAAACAAATAGAAAAGAATAACTTACAGTATGCACTGTAGCAGTTAACAACAACAACAGTAACAGTTACGCCAGCTGGCTAACACCATCCATAAACTAACACCGTCTCTCAAGCTTCATGGTTGTAATTTACACTTGACCATCTGATCTGCCCAAGTTGCATAAAGTGTAAATGGTGTCTCAGATATTTCCCTTAGGAGTTGGTGGAGAAAAACAGCAGGAAGAGGACTGACCATCAAAATTAAATTCCTCAAATGGCCACAAACACAGCTTGTGATAGATGTAAAATTTTGCTTTGTATCTGCTGGATGTGCAACTACTCAAGTATTTCCTATAAGTAGTAACTTTATATTATGATAACAGGTCATTATTGTTGTAAAGCTTGTTGCAGGCAAAAGTTTGTTCCAATTAAAAGTAATAATAATTAATGCAACTCTAAATGTTATAGTACAAATAGGTACCACATGCTGTGGTGAGTCTAATCAAAAACACTGAAATTTCTCTTATTTTTAAAATCCACATCACATCCACTTCCTTTATATGTACGTCATAGTGAGGCAATGAGGGCTGGCAACAGCAAACCTGTTTTCAGTTATGCTTGTCAGTCTTGAAGAAATATCCTTTGCAGAGGGATTTTTTTATCATTTGCTCCATCCAACAATACATGTACTGTATGTATTGAACAACATCACAACATAAATCGTTTATAGTTTTAATAATAATAATCACCTTTATTAATCTCCTTTAAAGTCTCTGTGATCCTTGTTGGATTTGTTTAGCACTGGCCATTTCCTGCAAAACCCTGAAATAACAGTCAGGATTTGTTGGAATAATTTAACTAGGAAACTAATTTGGAGGTGCTTCACAGTGCTAAAAACCCCAGTTGGCATTATGTAATAGGTCTTTAAAGTCCCAGTCTGCTATTTGCCAGGCTTATGCAGGGAGGGGAGCACATGCTTTACACATGCAAGCACAGTTTGCAGTGATGGCCAACATATCAGCCCACATTACTTTCTCTGAGCTCTAGTCCAGGTTTAAAATAGCTCCACTCCCTTTACCATGATATTTGTAATGGTCTTATATAATCTGCACCTCCTGGTCTTCTCTTCCTCTTCATCCTAGTGCTTATATCCCATTCTGCCTGCCTGTCTGTTTCTCTCTCATTCCATCTCCACTTTGACAAAGGAAACAGAAAATAATTGTTAGAGTAATTTTCATGGCAACGGTAGCCTGTATGCTTAAGCCCAGACAGACTGGCAAACATTAGAATGCTCAGCTCCTTCAGCTCTTGTTGTTGCTTTGGTCATATAGCATTTGATATAAAGAATACCTTGAACATAAAGGATGTCTAAATGATAATGGTCCTGGGTTTTATTCATTTTTTGCATGAAGCAAAGAGCCTTAATTTCTCATCATCCCCTGCCAGCTGCTAACCAGTGTCCTTCACTATGAAGCTCTTTTACTTACTAACTTAGTAACTTTACTGTGAGTTAACTGTTACTATGTGTAGCTCGTTGGCTAATCACTAAAAGTCAGCCAGCTTTTATTGTTACGTGACCTCAGCATTCCCACTGTCAAATGCAAACAGAAAAAAGGTGTGTAGTTCTTGGGCAAGCTCCCCAGTGGAGAAGTCCCTAGAATAAGTCCCTAACATGGTTTGGTCTAAAAGCACCTTTACATACAAACAAAATGCAGTAAGTTTTCTGCACTCAGTTTTTGAAATGATCAGAAACTACACTTTTCTCATTTGCTTTGTCTAATAATTCAGTGATCAGCTAGCTAGTGTCAATCCAGCTAGCATCTAGCACTGATGGACATCTCTCATAGGGTACATACGTAGTATATTTCTTTCTCTTGTGTCTTTCTTTGTCATCTTAGTCCCACCCACATAAGATGCAAGGGGAAACTCTTGACCCAGGTGTCCTAGCTAATTATAGACCAATATCCAATCTCCTGTTTATTTCCAAAATCCTTGAAAAAGCTGTTGCAAAGCAGTTATGTGACCACTTGCACAAGAATGATTTGTTTGAGGATTTGAGTCCATCATAGTACAGAAACCACATTGGTGAAAGTCACCAATGATCTTCTCCTAGCCTCGGACAAAGGACTTGTCTCCATACTTGTCCTCTTAGATCTCAGTGCTGCTTTTGACACCATTGATCACAGCATCTTACTGCAGAGACTTGAACATGTTATTGGGATTAAAGGAACTGCGCTAAGTTGGTTCAAATCTTATTTATCAGAAAACTGTTGTAGCACACTTTACTTGATCTTTTTGAGTAGCTCTTGAATATCCGCTTCAATGTCAATGGTGAGGAAATTTCTGCTGTAGCGCTTGTACGGCTCCCCATCAGGAGTGACCAGGAACTTCTCAAAGTTCCAGGAGATATCATTTCTACACACTGGGCTCCAAATGATGAACTTTGGATCATTCATGAGGGCAGTGGCATCATCACTGGGAAATGGAAGCTTTTCCTTCAGAAACACAAACAAGGGATGGGCATCTTTTCCATTCACATTCACCTTCTCTAGGAGCTGGAATTTTGGTTCAAAGCCATTCCCTGGGCGGACATACTTCAGAGATCTTAGGATTTCATCATTCATGGAGTTCTCCTGTTATACAAAACAGACATTACATCCATTATAGAGTATATATAGCTATCAAGTTGATTAAAAGATGCTGGATGTTTGCATTAAAACTTATAAAATGAAGACAGTGATACTTGCATTTATTAGTATTACTTCAATATTTCAGAGGGAAATGTACTCTTTACTGCCTACATTTATGAGTGCAGTTACTGATTATAATGCACATCCAGATTGTTGGTACTACTACACAACACTGGGCTAGATAAAGAAGCCTATATTTAAAATTTTGTTCTACTTCCATTTGCTACAACAGTAAAATGTTACATTAATACACAGTAATAATAACACTGATGGCCAACTCCCAGTCTCAGTTCGGGAGGCGGACACCCTCTCTACCTTTAAGATTAGACTTAAGACGTTCCTTTTTGATACAGCTTATAGTTAGGGCTGGATCAGGTGACCCTGAGCCTTCCCTTAGTTATGCTGCTATAGACCTATGCTGCTGGGGGGCCCAATGATGCTCTGAGTTTCTTTCCCCTCCCCTCCTGCTCTGCTCTCCTCTCCTCTCTCTCCCTATGCTTCTATATGCCACCATTACACATTATTAACTTTGTGTCTCCTCTCTCCCGTAGTGTGTCCTCTCTCTCTCCCTGTACCTTTCTACAGGTTGCCCTGGCCCTGGAGCTCTACGTCTCTGATGAGCAGTCACAAGCCACATCAACCTGATCAGCGTTTGATTGTTTGTTGTTGTGTTTGCTGTGTCTTGTTGCTTTTCTTTCTCTTCTCTCTCCTCTATCCAACCGATCGAGGCAGAAGGCTGCCCACCAAGAGTCTGTCAGAGGCCTCTTCCTTTAAAGGGGGTTTTTCCTCCCCACTGTCGCCAAGTGTTTGCTCAAGGGGGATTTGTTGGGTTTTCCCTATGTAATAATATTGATAACAGTAAGGTCTAGACCTTACTTTGTAAAGTGTCCTGAGATGACGTTTGTTGTGATTTGGCACTATACAAATAAAATTTCATTGATTGAAAAAATTGTGAGGAAAGAGGAATCAAGGAGATATGTTCTTAGTCTTGAGACATCCTTTCCTGTCCAACCACCAACTGATTTCCAATGAGGGGGCATCCACAAAGCCTTGTGTATTTTGTGTACCTTGCCAATAGTTCCTCCTGAGAGCAGATATAAGTGTCTTGGGACTTCTTCAAGCCTCACTCACCATGGAAGACATTCTGATCAAGCGAGGAACAACGATAAGACTTTGGATGTACCTAAAGACTGTATATAAAAATGGACAATGCCCAAAAATTATTTTTGTCATTTTGAGTAGATATTATTACACTAATTTATGTACAAGTGGTCATTTTTCTGATAAGTTCATTTTTAACAAGTTATTTGATGATATTTAAAGGTCTGTATATGATATGACAGCTTTCATTGGGCGTCTCATACTGTGGCCCCACCTCTGGTCGCTAATGTACAGAATCCAGTTGCAAAATATGTCACAAAAGCATTTTAATATACAGACTGCAACATTTGTGAGGGTGAAATAGGCTATGTTAAGTTTTTTCAGCTCGTTTCTCATTTGCAGGCCAATGGATTTACGGTCATGACATTTATTTAACAAAAGAAATATCTTGTACATTGACACGGTGTATGTAGCACAAGAATTTGCTGGTAAATAGTGAAAATGATGATAATTATCATTATTAATGGCATTTGGGAGTGCTGTAGTTGACAGTGGTAAGAAGCCCATATTATAAGCAGTGTGCTAGGTTCTGTGCTGTACAGACTGAGATACAACCTTGAATCCTGATGCCTTCCACTTTATATTCTTGCATGCTTGTGTGTGTTAGATTCTGCTGCGATTCAGCAGCTCCTTTCGTCCTCCTCTCTTCACACATGCGGTGCATACAAACAGCTAGCACCCACACAGCACAACAACAACACATACACACACACACAACACACAAACAATAAAAAAGACAGCAGGCACCTACACACACACATACACACACCTACACACAGTCAAACACGCAACACTAATGTGAAGGAGAAAGACACCTAACAGAGAGAGCGAGGCAGAGAGTGATACTGATGGACAGAGCAGTTACATATTCTGTCCTCCTTCTGCTAACATTAATGTGTCTATATGACAATCATTGTAAGAGTGGAGACATTAAGCTTCAGCTAAAAGAGCAGCACTGGGCTAGACTCAGTTAGTTGCTTGGTCTGCAGACATCATCATTTTGTCTGTGGGTAGAACAGTGTTTTTATGACACTACATGGTTGTGCTTTGGCATTTCCACTTGGCACACATGGCTTTTCTTCTCATCTGTCACCATGAATATAACCACATGCAAACAAAACCCAGACTTGTGTGCTCTGCAAACCTATCGTGGGTGATGATGCAGTGTAGTGCAGCCACCCACCTGCTCAGACCTGGTCAAGAAGCGCCTGGTGAAAAGCAAACTGCTGTTCTGTACTGGTTTGATGAACAGAACCTGCACAGATCTTTTCAGTGAGATTATCTTCTCCAGAAAAACAACAGCATCAGCCATTTGTTTACAACCATTTGCACCCATGCAAATGAAGTTTTTTCAGGGGTAAAGTCTGACATTGTTGTAACACTGCAGCCCCTCAGTAGAAGGAACTTACCTTTCTTGGTTACTTTTATGCATGGTGAGGATTCTTCCTAGATTTAGCTTTGTTGTTTTTTAATTAATTTCACTTTATTTTCAGCCAAAGTCTTTATGAACAATGGTTTCTACTGTCCAGCTGCCATCTGAGTTCCTTAGTACTGTGCATTCAGACCAAAAACCTAAATATATCTGGAGCAGTGAGCAGTGCAGCAGAAGCTTCATATTGTAGATGTTTTTGCCTGGGGTCATTCCGAGTCTCCCCTATCTTACCAGTGAAGGTTGCTGAGGCTATAAGCAGACACTACTGAGGACTGGGAAAAGGTTTTTCAAGTACAGTCTTTACTGACAGGTAATGTTCTCTAAAAATGTGATAGTTGAACAGCACATGAAAAGGTGTTTGTATATAGGGGAGCTTTAACCTGCTATGAAAAATACAGTGTAATTTGGGTTTAAACCATCATTACAATGCAGCAGTTTCATCCACTGACACCCTCTGAGACTGTGAATATATTGGAAGCTCGACTTAAAGGGCAACCAATCTCATTCATAAAGGTCAGTTTACTTGTTATGGGGATCCTTCAAAAACAGTTGTGAGGGAGCTCTGTTAAGTCAGACAAAAAAAGCCCTGAAGATTTCATTGTGAGCTTCAGACTGCAAATTTAAAACAGAAAGTCTGAGTTTAAAATTGGGGATGTCAGTTTGACAGACATGGTCAAGGAGGGGTTTCACCCTGCTGATGGTAGGGGCAGCTGTGGCTCAGGAGGTAG